AAAGAGGAACCTACAGAGAATCCCAGCCACCTGGGAGGCTGAGGCAGGAAGATTTCCTGTTTGAAGGCAGTCTGGGCAACTTAGCAAAACTCTATCACAAAAAAGGGAAGGAAGAGAGGGAGGGAAAGAAAAAAGGGAGGGAAGAAGGGTGGGAAAGGGATGTACATATGTATACATGAAAAGTGTCTATGTGAAAATGAAAACAAACGTTCCTTCCCTTGTCTAAACATTTTACCCAACTCAACCATTCCTGTGAATAAAAAAGAGAGGAAGTAATATACCAGAAATAGAATAGGGCTAATTTTTTATTTATGCAAAAAATTACTGTGCACAACTCTGAAAACAAAGGAGACTTGCTTAATGAGCATTTGTAACTTCAATAATAAAATACAAAAGATAACAAAATGGGAAGCAGCACATATAAAATGGTGGGACTTGGTAGGGAGAGTTTTTTTAGAAAAGAGGTAAAATGGGAGACTTTATTTAAACAATAAATATCTGTAGAGTTTGAGAAATGTTTTGTAACAAGCTTTTAATACTCATACTAACAATCTTTAAAATACAGCAATAATAGCTATGGGGCAATGGTCAGTTGGTACAAGTTAGGACAGAGGTGAAGATGCAAGGATAAAGAAAACATGGCCTGCAGGCCTGGTGACTTTAAGACAACCACAAGGAACCCCAGGTATTAGCAAAGCTATGGCAGAGCAGAAGGGAAACAAAATGGCCAGGCAGTGCAGGGATATTCGTGTTGGCTCAGCTCGGCCACCAGTGCCATACGGCTGAGATGCCGGCAGAACCAAATACAGCATGGAGCTCAGAATGGAGCTCAGCAGTAGTTTTTTCCTGTCCCACTGGTTCAAGGGGAAGCTTTTGTACCCTTCCCAATAAGGATTCAATTCAACACATTGCTAAAGTATGAGTCACGTTACCAGGATCTTAGGTGTAAAAGGCTAAAAGGTATAACCAGAGGTGCGTTCCTATATAACAAAGATTCTTCGTTTGCTTTTTTTTTTGGTACCGGGGATCAAACTTGGGTCCTTGCATTTGCAAGGCAGGCAGTGGAACCACTGAGCTAAACCCCCGGCCCTTAATTTGCTTTTGATCACAGGTAACTTTTAGACTGTAATTAAAGCTACAGATCATCTCAAGGATGCCATGAGTATCTGAAGCACCACGGACATGAAACTAAGAGCTCCTAGAAACCAGGTGCATCGGTGGGTGAGCGCATATAGTTCCAGCTACCGAGGAGGCTGTGGTAGGAGGATCACTTGAGTCCAAGAGTTCAAAGCCAACCTGAGCCATACAGTGAGACCTTATCTCAAAAAGGCCCTGCTGTCATTATGCCCCTCCTGTCTGACAAGTAAATGAGCAGACTGAGCAGGAGTGCTAAAAGCAATGCAAGGTGAAAGAGAGCAGTAGATTGCAGGAGAGAGAGAGAGTAATTGTGAGTGTGTGTGTGTGTGTGTGTGTGTGTGTGTGTGAGGTATAAGAGGACAATTTTTAAAATAGGGTCAAGAAAATCTTTTTGAGTTGGCCAAAAAGAGATAAGGAAGTTCTCTCTAGTCATGAGCAGGGTTGAAAGAAGCTGGAAGAGACCACAGATTTTAACTACCATGGCCCCATCTTACCTGCAGTAGTTATGCTCGCCCAGACCACCCTCTCCATTGGGGTATTTCAGAGTGTTGTACGGATGCTGGAAAGTCTCATTCCAGAATAAACACGGCTTCCCACCTTGTAGTGCCGTCCAGTTCTGAGTTCCCCTATAATCAGCACCGTTGGCTGTGAAACACTCTAGAAGAAAGAAAAGATAGAGCGTAATAATTTTCTGGCAACATCTGAAGTCTCTTTCCCCCCTGGTTGATGTTTTACGTTTTCTTTGGACAAAGCTGGAATTGGATAGCGCCTTGCTAGATGCTGGACACCGCGCAGTTAACAGTGCTGGGGCTGTGTGGATCTAAAACAAGGTGCCCTGAGAATTCAAGACTAATCTTGGCACTAGCTTGTAGGAACAGTAGGGCATTTCCCCACTGAAGTTTACAGATCCTAACTGGGATATAAACAGGGGGCCTAATATACTGAAGCTCATGCAGCGAACCAGGAAACCCCCAAATCCAGAACAGCTGGTAACAGCCGTGCACGTGGAATTCTGGGTACTCGGAGGGGGTCCGTGCTCTCGCCAGTGCCTCTGTGTGGTAACTAGAACCAGCTCAGCAGCTGTAACTGAGCTCTCCCTGCAGTCTGAAAAGCTGCACTGGCACTTGGATTTAATAAGACCATCGGATACAGCAATGCTTTGGAATCCCAATCACACAAATCTGGGAATGACTCACATTCCCTGGTAATGAGGAACAGTCCTCCCCACGCTGACTGAAATAGAAGCGCAACAAAACAGGCAGTCAATCCCAGGGAGGATGGACCGGGGCAGCATTTTCTCTAACCCCTTTCTGAAATTCTTTCCTGCAGGATGCACCGAAAGTGCTCTCAGGTCCCATTTCCTAAGATGACAAATCTTTGCAGGTATAAACTTGTGCTTCTCAAATCCGCTTTTCAGACTCTGGGGGGATGGGCACAGAGGCTGACAGGCTTTCCCCCACATATTGTATCCATTAAACTCACAGAGGTTCACGAAAAAGACACAGTACAAAGAGAAATTTTTTAAAATTAGCTTAGTTGAAACTGACAGATAGAAGCACTTCAAACACTTCTTTAAGATGTATCACCAGGAACCTGACAGTCTGGAGGAGTTACACTAACATCTCAGCTTTCTTTCTTTCCTTCTCCTGGCACACAGTGACCTATAACTTCTGGTATTGAGTATTTCAATGCCATCTCCCACTGGAGAATGCATGTGCCCACACTAGCCTTACAGGCTTGTGGACAACATGAGCACATCTCTCTGGAAGATACATACACTATTGAAAATGTGATACTTAATATTTAGAAACTAGCCACAGAACATCTCTCTTTCAATATACTCTTCCTCCCACCATCCAGCCCCTGTGTTTTGTCTGGAAAGGCACTGTCTTCTGGATAGCCAAGATAACCTGGAATTCTAGGCTACACAGAAAGCTCTAGTAATTCAAAACATCATGTTTAGTGCAACTCATCATGTACCATGATCTCTCCTTACGAAGGGTCTACATAAAACATGTAAAAGGTAACTGCAGGAAGCAGCTCAGCACAGCACGCACGACCTACACTAAACCGGGAGGCTGGGCCTGGGCCTCTTCCTGTACTTGCTGCTGACCAGCTGTGTGACTCAAGCGAATCAGCATCATGGCATCGGTTCTGATTCTTACATAGTGTCTTACTGTGTGCCACACTTCATTCTGAGAGCTGTGCGAGGTTCACTCACCACCAACCCAGGAGAAAGGTGTCCTTAAGAATGTCCTTCAGAGAGAGCGGCCGGGGCGCTTGAGCACACCCACGTCTCGCAGAACCTCCTGAGTGCCACTTATCGTCAGAGAACAGTTCAGGCCCCACAGTGCCCGCTTTTGTTCCACAATCCATTCTCCCTACAGAACTCAAAGGTACCAGGAGAACAAAAGCGCTCAAAACAAACCCAGACTCCCGTGGGTGTGTGCAAGGCTTCCTCCCCGGCACACGGCTCTACCTTTAATCCCAGGAGCACCCCAGGCGTGTTCTCCTCTAACTCTTCCCCCTGCAGACAAAAGTCTGCCCGTCTTCTCCCCTCCTTTTCCCCCTTTACGTCTGAATGTGAACGTGTGTGGCAGGTACCACGCAGAGCTACACCTCAATCCTGAGGCTAGAAACCCATGCTGCAGTGGGACCCGGGAACCCGTAGTTCTAAAGAGATGTCCAGGTGATTCTGTTTCACTGTCAGACTGGAAATCATCGGACTGGATATTTGTTTTGTTTTCTGGTGGTGCTAGGGAGCAAGCCCAGGGCCTTGGGCATGGTAGGCAAGAGCTCCGATACTGAGCCACTTCCCTAGCCCTAAACTAGACGATTCTAAGAACACCAAGCACATTTTGCCAATTGCTGGAATTTTAAATGTTATACGTTAATACATCCTGTCAGTTCTTACACAGCGAAACACCAGGTTGTAAAATTATAATACAGCAAAAAAAGAATTTTAAAAGAAAGAGGTAAGGAGTGATCCAGGAGCCAGAAAGGCAGGCCAACCAGTACACTGCCACCATATTCCCAGAGGCTCAGATGACTTGATTTAAACGCAAAACAAGGTGGCAGCCATGCACACGCGTGCCAGTCCCCATGAATGGGGAGGAGATGTCATCTGAGAGCAGGAATAGCAATTGTCTTATTCTTAATTCCACTGGGGAAACTGAGGCAGCACACCAGATTTTAATTTGTTTCCCAAACTCGCCAGTACACATCAGTTGTGGAGAAAAAGCAAGAAAAACAAACACCATCCTAGCGAAGTGTGCTGCAGTGAGCACCCACAGCTCTCTCTGCAATGGTGTCATGAATTGTACGAGTTGTTTTTTCTAAACTAAAACGTCAGTATTCAGGTTTAATTGCACTGTTGGCACTTTGCGATAAATAAATAGGTTTTGGGTTGCATTTGGGGCACGAGGTCTCTAAAAGTTTCGCCATCATCACTGCATGAGAGTATTCTGGATTTAAAGTTATTTGGGCATCCCGACTGCATCAGAACACTAGGATGGGTACTAGGTAATGAGGACTCTGCCTCTCTGTTTTCTACCGCTGTGACACTGACATAAACTTTGTCTACACAAGCAAGAAATGGTTTAACCTAAAAGGGAAAAAGAAAGAAATCACATGGCCCCTTGGACAGTCACATATTCCATGAAAGAGAGTAAGTGAAGGTATAAACCTAATGTGTAGGGCAGGGTATTACTCATTAATTAATTCAGAAGTACGCATTCAGTACTTCGCATGTGCCTAACTTTCTTCAGCACTGGGACCACGGTGATGAACAAAGACCCTGCACAGTATTCCTGGAGCTCGCATGCTAACAGGCAGACATGTGCATACTAAACCAATCAAGATTAACATCAAATGGCGCTAAGTGCTGTAGGAAAGGCCGGTCCTGGAGAGGAGCAAGCATCTGAGCAAAGATGTAGTAGAAGGGAGGAAGCAAACCCTGTAAAAGGGCTGGGAACGTTCCTGGGGAAAGACACAGCAGAGACAAACGCTTGGCAGGTCTGCGGAACTATGCAGCTGCTCCTCTTACCTGACTGGCGAGGGACAGAATGTAGGGAGGGGCAGGCAAGGCCAGGCCAGGAAGGGTCTTTGGGGTTACGTAAACAGAATTTTGGCTTTTGCTCTAAATATGAAGAGAAGCCGCTTGCAAGTTTTTTTGTTTTTACTTTGTTCTTTTGGAGCTTGTGAATAGAACTCAGGACCTCACGCTTGCTGGACAAGTACGCTGGCCTTGAGCCGTCCTTCCAGCTCGCTGGAAGGGTTTGAGCAGAGAAATGGCGCGATTCATCTGAGGGCGTCTTGTTTCATCTTGGGGTTTTTCGTGTGTGTGTGAGTTGTTTATTTGTTTCGGTGGACCTAGGGAGTGAACCCAGGGCCTCTGCACTGAGGTATATCCCCGGCCCTTTTAAAATTATTTTACATAGATAACTGTCCAGCTTTTGGGAAGAGAAACTACAGAGAGGCAAGAGTTAGGCCTGGAGACCAGTTAGAGGGAGACCAGAGACAGACAGCGAGGAGGGATGCTGGCTGGGTGCCAAAATACCTACGTTTTATTTTGTCGTCTTTTTTGTTTCTTAAGAGAGGGTCTTGCTATGCAGTAGTCCAGACTGGCCTCGAACTCATCCTATAGTCCAGGCTGGTCTCCAACTCATGATCTTCCTGCCTCAGCCTGCCAATTGCTGGGATGATAGGTGTGCAGCCCTACACCTGGCTCATAGGATTTTTCCGGTGATGGGCAGTGTACGCAGAGCCTCACCTATGCCCACACCACTTTGTAAGAACCAATGGGGGGAAGAGACTAAACCTATTCTCTATGAATTTGTAGCACAATAGGTATAAAATCAATAAAAGACCTCGAGACTATAAAAAATTTTAAACTACAATAAGGCATTCTTTTAAATAATTAAAATTTGACGTGTATGAAAGAAACAGTGGTAGGAAAGCAGTTAATCTAAACCACATTCTATTCCTTCATAAAATGTAATAAAGTTGAAGAATATGGTACCCACAAAGCTCTCTAACTAGCTTACTCCTAATTACAATGCTCGAGTTTGGGTCTTAAATGTTCCCCACTCAGGCATGGTGGCACACACCTGTAATTCAACTCCCTGGGAGGCTGAGACAGGAGGATCATGAGTTTGAGCCCAGCGCACGAAACTTAACAACTTAGGAGGACCCTGTCTCAAAATAAAAACAAACTGGGGATTTAGCTCAGTGTGAAGGCTCTAGGTTCAATCTCCAATACAAGAAAGAAAGAAAGAAAGAGTCAGATGGAAAGAAGGGGGGAGAAAAGAACAAATGAAAGAAAGAGCAAGAAAAAAGAGAGAGAAAGAGAAAGACAGACACCAACCAAGACTTAACTGGACATGGTGGTGCACACTGGTAATCCCAGCATTCAGGAGGCTGAGGCAGGAAGGTAACCATGAGTTTGAGGCTAGCCTGGGCTACATGGTGAATTCAACGCCAGTCTCAACTATACAGCAAGACCCTGCCTCAAACAAAACTGTCTCTGTCTCCAAAGTTTAGGTATTGGTCCCCAGCTCATGACACTGTTGGGAGACAGTAGAACATTTTGGAAGTGGGACCTAGTAAGAAGTTATAGTTCATTTGGGGTGTGTCCTCAAGTGGAATGTAAGACCCCTTGCTCTTCCTTTCTTTTACTTCCTGGCCAGAAGGTGAGCAGTTTTGCTCCAAAACACATTCCAGCCATAACGTGCTGCCTCACTGCAAGGCCCAAAAGGAACAGAGCCAACCAACCATGAACTGAAATCTCCAAAACTATGAGCTAAAATAGCCTTTTTCTCTTTATAATTATCTCAGGCATTAGTTACATAATGGAAAACTAACACACTATTTGTGCAAAATGGTACTATTCTAGTATAATGCACACCTGTAATCCTGCACTGGGGGGGCTGCAGCAGGAAGATCACACAGCAAGACCATGAGCCTATAGATTCACCTGGCTAAGAAACTAGACTTTCAACAGCAACAACAAAAACTGCACAAAGAAAAGAAAATGTCAACAAAGACTTAAAATTCACATCATCTGGCCAGGTTCGATAGCGCACTCCTGCACCCCGGCATGCCAGAGGCTGAGATAGGAGGATCAGCCCGGGCCACACCGCGAGTTCAAGCCCAGTCTGCACTACAAAGCGAGACCTTGCCTCAAAAAGAAAGAAGAAAAAAAGACTCATACCATCTAAATGTACCTTGTTTAGGTCCTGCATGAACTATAAAGAGACAATCAGGGACATTCAAATCCTGACTGGATATCTGATGACATTAAGGAACTAATTTTTTTTTTAGGTACATTATGATACTACTTAGTTTTTGAAAAGAATAGTTACCATTTAGAGATGCATACTGAAGTATTTAAAGATGAGATGATATCTGAGATTGGTTACAAAATAACCTAGACATTATATTACACTGAAACATGCACACAGGTGATTGTAACAGCACAACTCGTCATAGCTGAATCCTTGGTGCAGCCTGTACGTCCATCAGCAGAGGAACAGATAAAGAAGTCTGGTATCTACACACAGTGGAGCACTGCTCTGAAATAAGGAAGGATAAACCTCAGTCATCTGTAGGAAAATGGATAAACCTTAAAATCGTATGTTAAGTAAAATAAATCAGACACACACGCTTAAACATTGCATAGTTTCTCTTATAGGAGAAACCCCAATTATGAAGAGCAAAATAAAAGCTAGATAATAGGAAATAGGCAGATAGATCTTTTTCAAATGGAAAGGAGACAAAGAGTTGCAGGGAGGGGAAAAGGAAAGGAGGGAAGAGGGATGAAAAAGGAACCAAGATTTGTACTGTACACACATAAAAGCCCCACAAGGAATGCAAACATCATGTACTACAAACATGTAATAATAAAAAATTATTAATTAATTAATGACTTTTAAAAAATAACCTAGTGGAGGGTTGGGGATTTAGCTCCGTGGTTTTCCTGCCTGCCTTGCAAGTGCAAGGACCAGAGTTTGATCCCCTGTACTACAACAACAACAACAACAACAACAACAACAAAATAACCTAGCGGAGAGGAGCAGAGGGGAGGGCAGTTGTTGATAATCCTGGAAGCTGGGAAATGGATACATACAACTTCTGGGTAGTCTATTTTTGTGCATTCTGTATTTGCCATAGTGAAAAAAAAAAAAGATTTAAAGAACATCTTGAAATAGTTATGAACATGTTGTTTTGCAATTAATCTACCTTAGCTTCTTTTCAAGAACCATAAACTCAATGAGCAATAAATCCAGCCATCTAAAGCCAAGACGTTCATGTATTCTGCTCTTGGATTATGCATTAACCGAGCAAAATGACCACTGAACAAGCTGTACGTCTGCCCAAAGTAGAATCACCACATAAAAAATCACTGTAATTTTCAAGCATCAGTAGCTTTTCCATTAAAATATCTTTTAGATCATTCTTTTCATTTAGGGAGACAGTGTTCTTAAAAACATTAACCAGGGTTGTTTTCATCTGCATCTCTCGAATGACCAGGGATGTGGAACATTTTTTCATATATTTACTTGCTGCTTTTACTTCTTTGTCTGAGAAATGTCTGTTCATTTCGGATGCCCATTTTTGAATCAGGTCTTTATATTGGGGGGGCTGGTTGTTTTGAGTTCTTTATATATCCTTGTTAATAGTCCTTTGTCTGAGGAACATCTGGTAAAAATTTTTTCCCACATTGTAGATTGTCTCTTAGTTCTGCTGATGGTTTCTTTTGAAGTACAGAAGCTTTTTAGTAAGAAGAGATCCGAGTTGTTGATTCTCTCTGCTAGTTCACCCCACAAAGAATGGCTGCTATCAAGATATCACACAATAACAAATGTTGGCGCGGTTGTGGGGAGAAAGGAACCCTTCTCCATTGTTGGTGGGAGCACAGACTGGTGCAACCACTATGGAAATCAATATGGAGATACCTCAAAGAGCTTGGACTGGAGGTTCCATTTGACCCAGCCATCCCTCTGCTGGGTATCTTTCCAAAAGAATTAAA